ACGTGATCGTCCTGGACAGCTCGCAGGGGAACTCGGCGTATCAGATCCGCTTCCTTCGTTGGCTCAAGCGACACCACCCGGGGCTCGAGGTCGTCGCCGGCAACGTCGTGACCCAGGATCAGGCGCGGAATCTCATCGAGGCCGGCGCGGACGCCCTTCGGGTCGGGATGGGGAGTGGGAGTATTTGCATCACCCAGGAGGTCTTGGCGTGTGGGCGGCCGCAGGCCACCGCGGTGTTTAAGGTCGCGCGGTATTGCGCATCCCGGGGGGTCCCCTGCATCGCCGATGGGGGACTGCGAACGGTCGGGGATGTCTGTAAGGCACTCGCGATCGGGGCGAATGTCGTGATGCTCGGCGGCATGCTCGCGGGGACCAGTGAGGCGCCCGGGGAGTATTTCTTCCGCGACGGCCTTCGGTTGAAAATCTACCGTGGAATGGGCAGCGTGGAGGCGATGAATCAGGGTAAGGAGGCAGCGAAACGATATCTATCGGAGAATGAAAAGGTGCAGGTCGCGCAAGGGGTGCTCGGGAATGTCGTGGATAAAGGGTCGGTCTTCGAGCTGCTCAGTTATATCACGCAGGGACTGCAGCAGTCCGCGCAGGATATCGGCGAGTTGAGCTTTGACGCGATTCGTGAGAAGATGAATGAGGGGCAGGTATTGTTTAACCGTCGCTCCGTCATCGCGCAAAATGAGGGAGGGGTGCATTCCCTACATAGTTATGAAAAGAAGCTGTTTACCTCGAAAATCTAGGCGGAATTCGTGTGGTGCATCACATCAATAAGATGGAGAATAGTGAGAGGGGGGGGGGGGGGGAGCTCCCTTAGATCTAGAATACGTTAAGAGGTTGATGAAACAATGGTAATCTTAATAAATGGTTGTAATCTTAATAACTCCAATAATTGCGGGAAGAAAATATAGAATAAATACTCTTATTTTTCCGTTTTTCATATTCTTTCGAAATTTTTCCTTACACTTCTTGATCTTTACTGTGGCGTGAACACGTACTAGTCATGTCAAAGAAGGCCCTGCGTGCAGAAAAGGGTCTCAGACGATGCCTACATCAATAACCTATGCCCATTTGAAAGTTTGATGCTTCATTTCTTCGCCTCAGTTGATGTTTTATTTTTATCCTAACGACGGAAAAAAAATCCAAACAACCTTTTAAGTCAATACCTTTCTACACACGGAAGTTTTCGAATTTGTTTTCCTTTCCAGTCATCAGATTTTAAACCAATTGGAGCTTTATTTCTTCATTTATCCACTTTTATCCTTTTATTATCTATTATTGTGCGATGTTCCTTATAATTATCACTTTTTGGTATAGTGGCGAGGTGTGGGAAACTAGAGGATAGATCCGAAGAGGAAACGCTGGCTTCATATAAGAATATTAGGTGAATAGAGGAAAAACACGAAGGATAAGGAGAAGGGAGGAAAAAAGGTCAACGTTAATAAAATGCGTCAGCGTTCCGCTAAAACTCAACGATCGTCTGACTCTCGTACCCCGACTAGGCACCAAGATCCTCATGCTCACCCTAACCCGTTGGAACTTCCAGAATCGAGGCATCTCGCGTTTGATCAAGTTTCCTGTATCAGTCATTCAAGAAACTCCTACATGCACAAAATGACCGAGATATTCATGACCATCATGGATACGTTACCCTATCGTGTTATTTCATGCTTTATTCCGGAAATTCCTTCGCATCACAAGAGCATGCTTGAGAGCATTTCCAAGGAGTTCATAGCCCCTTACGACGGCGAGAACCCTACTCATGTGAGTTTGCTTCGTCGTCTATGGGAAGGGCATAATAAGGTGATGTTTGACGACTGCCCATTCGAACCCGTTCACGAACGATGGAAGGACCTAGGCTTTCAGTCGGCGGATCCGTCGACGGATTTTAGAGGCGCCGGCGTCTTTGCCCTTCACCAACTCATCTATTTGGTCGAAACTTATCCAAATCATTGGAGTCGATTTCTTGCCGCGAAGGATTTTCTCATTTCCTGCGTCGCCATCAACGTGAGTATGCGGATCATTACGTTGCTCCGAATGAGCTCGCAGCGCAACCTCCTTTCCGTACGGATGGCCGAAAACTATACCAATTTATTGGCGAAGGAGAAGCTGTGCAAATTTATTTACAGCACCAACACCAGTGTGTCGTTTTACCTGCTTGCAGATGTGTTTTGTTGTTATATGTACGTGCTCGAGAAGGTCTGGACGAGCTCCGGGAAGAGCTTAATCGAGTTTAATCGGGTCCTCGAGCAGGTGTGTAAAAAGTTTGAGAGAGATATATGCATGTCAAACGCCATTGACGATTTGTGTGTTTTATAATAGCTGTGCTGGTTAAAAGGCGAAAGCAGAGGATGTTCTATATGCTATAAAGAAATAGTCATATTTACTCTCAATAGGCGTTTTCGTTTCGAAGGACCTTAATTAGGTGGTGCGACCACTTCTTTAATTTTGGGGAAAAATGCCAAACGAGAGGAGGGAACAAAATGATAATAAGTCTGTGCTCAATGAGACTCCTGCTGCATTGGATTTTTTTACCCATACTTTTTCGATTTTCTTTTTCTCAGAACTCATTTTTTCGGTGGCTATTTTATCAACGAAAGCTAAGGCTTGAGGTTACCTGCCTGTATCTCAGCCTTCCCTCTTCCTTGAGGAGAAGGGATGAAAAAAAAAGCAAAAGGAAAGAATCAACTGTCTGTGCATGAACCTGACAAAACGCTCTCACGGAAGGGTGGATTCGATGATAGTGAGGAAATTCTTGAGCGACTCGTGGGCTTCGTCGCTTCTCGAGGGATTCCCGTGATACCAGCGGCGTCGTTTCCACAATTTCGAGCATCGACGCTGCTGCTGCTTTTTCCGCCGTCTTTAAATCCTCCGACGGAAATCCATAAAGGGGGGGATCGTTTTTACGGCGTTGCCGTCTCCCGCCCTCATTGCGAGGAGGAGGATCACCGGATTATTTGGAAAGTCGCCACAGCCACCCTTTGTATGCTCCCACCGCTTCTTCCCCACATTGGAGGAAAGGGAATCAAAAACAAAAGAGGGGATTCTTGTCGATCCAACCAGGAGTGTTGTTTTATCGACCTCTCCGATGCCCCTGTCCAGGCGGTGGCGGTGCTGAAGGGCTTTCCTCCTGTTCGAATCACCGCCGTGCGTGCGTGTTATCCGATATTTAGCTTCGCAAACGATTCCTCTCCTCCCCACCTTCCCTTTGTTTCTCACTCTCGGAGCGCGAATTCGTGTGATGGTCCGAGAAGGGAAAGTTCAGTTGAGGTGAAGGAGGCTACTCAGCTCCATTGGCAGTCACTTTTGCCGTTTCTTCCGGATAATCTTTCCCTGTTGCTTCGCTTTTCGGAGGCGGATTTATCGACCTGTGCGTGGTATGAGGTGAGCTATCCAAACGGCATGCCACTAACCCCTTCGAGGATGGGAGATGCGGATGGGAGCGTGATTTCCAAACCAAAAAATCGTTGGAAAGAACAGCTACGGGCGATGGTGAGTCCGTTTTTTATACTTCCCTATTTTCTAGTGTTTGGGTATGTAGGATTGGCGGTTGGAGGGGGGGAAACCCTCCCGCCTCGACATCGACCGCGCGCGATGGAATCCATAGAGAGAGCGAGAGAGCTGCTTACGGATTTTACCGCCTTTTGTTATGGATCCGATTGCCTCTCGGAGGTACGGGTGCTGTAGCTTTTTCTCGTCACGACCCTGGATGGGAGTACGTGCGGGGTTTATGGAATCAACCAATCATTGATGCAAGCGTAGCCAAGAACGGAGTCGATTCCTATGATTATGTACGCCACTTTTGATAGGTGCTTGTATTTCATTTTTATATTACTGTTTATCCTGTTTCTGTTTAGCTGCTTATTATTTCTTCCGACTGGGTTGATTTGGAGAAGAGAAAATGAATCCCCGATATCATGATTCATGAGATTCAGTGCATTCACCAATAGCAGGATTCGGATCCCTCCAAGAGGATGCTTCCCCTTGGATACTTCAAGACTATATATCCTTCCTTCCCTTTTCCACCGGCTCAGATTCTTCTCTTTTTTTGTTGTTGTTGAGGAAGTGAAAAAAAAAACGGAGTGAGGAGAGGAAAGAAAGGGGTCGCTGCTGTGTGTGTGCTCTCCTGTTTGTTCCACTGGAGTTCCCAACAGTATCGCGTTCCCTTTATCGAGCGATAGGTTTTTCTCTCTTTTAGGTTAGATTCGGGTTGGGATGGATCCGCTTTCGCGTGTGGATGCCGTCTTAGAGGAGCGATCGCCCGCGTACTACCGCGGCTTCTTCGACGCCGAGCGGCGCCGAAAAGTGGTGAATCCGGAGATCACCGCGGGGCAGGCTGTTGGGGGTGCCCTGTTCGCCGCCCTCCCGATCTCGCTCGGGATTTATCTCGTGATGCGAGCGCGAGGGAGGATGCGAGGAATGGGAGGGGGGGGAACCCCTTCTTCTGGGAGTTTTTTTGATCACTTCCGTCAAGCGATGGATCGCGCGATGAACCCTCTTCCCACGCGGGATTTTCGCGCCCACGTCCACGGCACGACCTTCGCGGACGTCATCGCCCTTCCCGAGGCGGTCGAGGCGGTGCGGCCGTATGTCGAACTCCTTCGGAATCCCTCGCGTCTTTCGCGGTTGGGCGGGCGACCCCCCAAAGGGTGCCTTCTAACGGGTCCTCCGGGAACCGGAAAGACGCTGCTCGCGCGGGCCGTTGCCGGGGAGGCGGGGGGGGCGTTTTTCGCGTGCACGGGGGCGGATTTTATCGAAGTCTACGCGGGATCCGGACCGCGTCGGGTTCGGGAGCTCTTCGCCGCCGCCAGGGCGAGCGCCCCGGCGTTAATTTTCATCGACGAGATCGACGCGGTCGGGGCGCGAAGTGGCGGGGGTGAGGGAGGCCAAGGCCGCGGCGGCGGCGGGCCTCTCGGGCTTCGTGGGGAGGAAAACCGCACCGTGAACGAACTTCTCACCGCCCTGGATGGGCTCCACCCGAGCGAGGGGGTCGCGGTGCTCGCCGCGACGAACAACGCGGACGCGCTCGACCCCGCCCTTCGCCGCGCGGGCCGTTTTGATCGCCGGGTGGAGCTGCCGATGCCCGATCCCGCCGCGCGGGCGGCGCTCTTCGCGCACTTCCTCGGCCGCATCGTGGTGGCCCCGGCGGACGAGGCGACCCCCACGCCGGACCGGCGGGATCCCCCTGACGCCG